GTTCTGTCTCAGGGGTAATTTTTCCACGAGTAGTTGTAAATTGGCTGTGTCCACGGGAGGAGGTGAGTTCAGAGTCTGCCTACGCCGCCATCTTGACTCCCGTCCTTCTATGGTGCGTTCCTTAACATATAATTTTTGTTTGCTTGTGCCAGAGTCCTGAAACACTACTAGCCTGAGGACACTGTAAACTAAGTTCTTGTTTTGAGTTTTTTTAAGAATCTTCAATCTTTTGAGTTGTATGAATTTGAATCACACTGCTAAGCATCCTAATAGAAAATAAATAGTTCTAACTTTGTCATGAAGACCTCAAGTACTAGCAGGGATTAGAATAAACTCTCCTTGAACAAGGTTACTTCTCTGTGTTGACCCAAACTTAGGCCAGGGTAGTTAATTTGGTGTGAACTACATAAAAAATATAAATATGTGTATATGCAATACATAAAAATATATGTATATGTAAATATATATAGTCTATGCATATAAATCTGTCTATAAATCATCTCAACTGTTATAGCCCTCTGATGTCATCAGCTACATGGCTAAGAACTGTATTTCAAAGAAGTATGGTTACTGAATGAAGAGAAAAAGGTTACAGGAAGTTGTCTTATTACTAATTCTAGATATTCTTTTTGTTAAGAATTACTAGTTGAATCTATGAATGCTGATAATTTTTTTCAAGGTAAGAATATTTTTCAGTTACCATTATATACTTTTAAACAATTTAACATTTATACCATTCAAATCAGATGTAATAACACAATATAGGAAAACTTCTAGTAAAATTATCTTATTTACTTATAATATCAATCTCCAACAGCTTGAAATAAAAATTTCCATGGTCTTAATTGAACTGTATGTTACTGTCTTTTAGAATGTCCCGTTTTTCATTAAAATAATTTTTAAACCACTCTATGTGTTCGATCTTCTGTTTAACACTCAGATATGGGTTTTTGGAAAGGCCACAGGTCACCAGCTCCATGAAGTGGCGAATTGGTCCTTGTTTTGGAAAATCCTCCAGGTATTTATCCAGAAATATATGTTCATAAAATTCTGAACCATCATCATCAAAACCTAGGAAATGAGACAAAATATATTACATTATAATTTTGAATCTAAAAGCTATATCATAAAATTAACATGAATGAGGTAACATAGTATTACAGGTAAAGGCATGAACTTTGGAGTTAGACATAGGTTTGCCCACCAATTTAACAACTGTGTGACTAGGCAAATTAATTAATTTCTCTGAGCATTAGTTTCCTCAGGCATAAAATGTGGATTAAAACAGCACCTTCTTCATGGAGTTTTTGTAAAGATTAAACAGACACAAAGCTCTTTTACAACGCTTAGCATACTGTAAATGTTTAAAGTGTAGCAGCAATTACTGCTAATGAATATTTTAATATCTAAAGCAACCACTAAGAAAACTATAAACTACACTAAAAAATACATAAATAAAACAAGATGGAATCCTAAAATATGTTCAAGCAGCCCATAAGAAGCCAAGAAAAGACAGAGGAATAAGAAACAAAGAAAATGAACAGAAAACAAATAATGAAATGGTTTCTTTTGTCACAAAATGTTTGTACAAAACAAACTTCAATACATTTAAAATAACTGAAATAATATATAGTATGTTTTCCAATCATAATGAATCAAAGTAGAAATTGGCAACAGAAAGATAACAGGAAAATGTTCGAACAGACTTAAGTCCTAACAAATCAATAATTACTTGACATGTAAATGGTCTAAATACACCAATCAAAAGATAGAGATTGGCAGAGTGGATGTAAAAATACAATCCAAGTACATGCTATCTACAAGAAACTCACTTCAAACACAACATAGGTAGGTTGAAGTAAAAGGACGCAGAAAGATATATCTTGCTAACATTAATTAAAAAAAAAAACAGCATGAGTGGCTATATGAGTATCAGACTTCAGAGCAAAGAAAATTACTAGGGAGAAAAAAGAACATTACATAATAAAAAGATCAATCCACCAAGAAGACTTAGTTATCTGAATTATGTATGCACCAAACAGACTTTCTAAACACCTGAAAGAAAAACTGATAGAAATAAAGGAGAACTAGCAAAATCCACAAATATAGTTGGAGATTTCAATATACCACTGTCAGCAACTGAGAGAACTGCCAGGTAAAAAATTAGCAAAGATATAGAAGAACTGAACAACATCAACCAAAAGGATCAAACTGATGTCTACAGAATACCCAACTATTGCAAAATACAAAATTCTTTTCAAGCATCCACGGAACATTCACCTAGCTAAACCCTATCCTGGGTCACAAATAAGCTTTAACACATTTAAAACAATTGAAATAATACACAGGACATTTTCTGATCATAATAGAATCAAACTAGAAATCAATAACAGAAAGACAAAAATCTTCAAACAGTTGGAAATTAATACACTTATAAATAATTCATGGGTCACAGAGGAAATTTCAAAGGAAATTTAAAACAAACAAATAGAATTGAATGAGAATGAAAGCACAACAAATCAAAATGTGAGACACAGCTATAACCTAATCCCTAATCTAAGCTCCCACCTCAAGAACCTAGTAAAAGAAGAGCAAAATAATCCCAAAGCAAGCAAAAGGAAGGAAGTAATAAAGATAACATCAGAAATCAGTAACAGTGAAAATAGAGAAAATCAATGAAACTGATATCTGGTTCTTCAAAAAAATATCAGTAAAATTGATAAATCTCTAGCACATCTGATAAAGAAAAAAGAACAGAAGACACACACCACCAATATTAGGAATAAAATTTACCATTATAAATCCTGAAATCATTAGAGGGATAATAAAAGAATACTACGAACAACTTTACACTCACAAACTCAACAACTTGAAAAAAACGAACAACTTAAAATCCATTAAACTACCAAAACTCAACGAAAATAAAATAGATAACCTGAACAGTCTTATAACTATTAAAGAAAAGGAATGTAAAATTTAAAAGCTCTCAAAAGAGAAATCCCTAAACCCAGATCACTTCACTGGAGAATCTGATCACACATTTAAAGAATTAACACCAACTTTACACAATTTCTTCCAGAAATTAGAAGAAGGGATACTTCCTAATTCATTTTCTTAGGCCAGTATTACTTTGTTATCCAAACCAGACAAAGATACAACAGCAACAACAACAACAAAAAAAAAAAAAAAGGAGAGAGAGAGAACTACGAACTAATATCTCTCATGAACTTGGAGGCAAAATTTCAACGAAATTAGCAAACCAATCTAACAATGTATAAAAAGACTTAGACACCAAGATCAAGTGGGATTTACTCCAGGTATGCAAGGCTGGTTCAACAGTTGAAAATCAATGTAATCCACCATATCAACAGGTTAAAGAAGAAAAATCATATGACCCAACACTCATTTTGATAAAAACTCTCAGCAAATTAGGAAAAGAGAGAAACTACTTCAACTTGATAAAGAGCATCTACACAAAGTCTACAACTAATATCATACTTAATGGTGACAGACTGAAAGCTTCTCCCCCAGGTTCATGAACAAGGCAAGGAGGTCAGCTCTTGCTCCTCTTACTCAACACAGCACTGCAAGTTCTAGCCCCTGCAATGAGGGAGGGAGGGAGGGAGGAAGACAAGGCATACAGATGGGAAAGGAAGAAATAAAACGCTCTCTATTTGTAGACAACATGATTGTCTACAAAGAAAATCCCAAGGAATCCACAAAAAACCTCCCAGAACTAGTAAGTGAGTTCAGTCAGGTTACAGGATACAAGATCAACACATAAAAATCAATCACATTTCTAATTAAATTTAAATTGGAAGACAACATATTAAAGAAGTCAATTCTCTCCAAATTGGTCTATAGGTTTAATGCACTTCCTATCAAAATCCCAGCAAAGTTTTGCCACAGGCAAGCTTATTCTAAAATTTATATGGAAAGGCACAAGTCCTAGAACAGCTAAAACAATCTTCAAAGAGAAGAGTGAAGTGGGAAGAATAATGCCAAGACTTAACTATATAGCTAGAGTAATCAAAAGAGTATGGTACTGGCAGAGGGACACATAGACCGATGGGACAAAATCTAGAACCCAGAAACAGACCCTGTTATGGACTGAACTATGTACACAGTTGATATAGACAATTGACAGGTTGAAGTCCTGACCCCCAATGTGGCCATATTTAGAGATAGGGCCTTCAAGGAGGTAATTAAGGTTAAATGAGATCATAAGAGTAGAGCCCAGATCCAATAGGACTGGTGTCCTTATAAGAAAGGCTGAAGAGACACCAGGAGTGCACACAGACAGAGAAAAGACCACAGACAGAGAAAAGACCATGTGAAGACACAATGAGAAGGGGGCCATCTGCAAGCCAAGGAGAGAGGCCTCAGGAGAAAGCAACCCTGCTAACACCTTGATCTTGGACTTCCAGCTTCCAGAACGATAAGAAAATTAATTTCTGTTGTTTAAGCCACCCCATCTGTGGTATTTCGTTATGGTAGCCCTAGAAGACAAATATGCCCAATTTTAAAAAACTTATTTATTTATTTGTTTTTATTGAAGTATAGTTGACATATAATATTGTATTAGTTTCAGGTGTACAACATAGTGATTTGACAAATATGCCCAACTTTTTCAAAGGTGTAAAGACAATGCAATGGAGAAAGGATAGCCTTTTCAACAACTGGTGACAGAGCAACTGAATATCTACTGATAGAAAAAAAAAATGAACCCAAACCTCATACCTCATACTAATTGACACACAGTGGATCACTGACTTAAATGTAAAACTATAAATCTTATAGAAAAAAAACATAGGGGAAAATCTTCTGGTGCTAGGGCTGGCAAAGAACTTGATACCAATAGCATGATCCATAAAAGGAAAAATTGGACCCCACCAAAATTAAAAACTTTTGGTCTGTGAAAGACTCTGTTAGAAGGATGAAAAGACAGGGGGCCGGCCCAGTGGCATAGTGGTTAAATTCGCACACTCCACTTTGGCGGCCCGGGGTTCACAGGTTCAGATCCTGGGTGCAGACCTACGCACCACTTGTCAAGCCATGCTGTGGCAGGCGTCCCACATAAAGTAGAGGAAGATGGGCACGGATGTTGGCCTAGGGCCAATCTTCCTTAGCAAAAAGAGGAGGATTGGGGCCAGCCTGGTGGCGCAAGCGGTTAGGAGCGTGCGCTCCACTGTGGTGGCCCAGGATTCACTGGTTCGGATCCCAGGCGCGCACGGACGCACCACTTGTCAGGCCATGCTGTGGCAGGCGTCCCATATAAAGTAGAAGAAGATGGGCATGGATGTTAGCCCAGGGCCAGTCTTTCTCAGCAAAAACAGGAGGAATGGCAGATGTTAGCTCAGGGCCAATCTTCCTCACACACACACAAAAAAAAGAGGATTGGCAGCGGATGTTAGCTCAGGGCTAATCTTCCTCATAAAAAAAAAGGATGAAAAAAACTACGGACTCGGAGAAAATATTTGCAAACCGTATATTCAACAAAGGACTAGTATCTGGAATACATAAAAAAACTCTCAAAACTCAACAGTGAGAAAAACAATCTAATTAGAAAATGGACAAAGATGCAAAAAACAAGAAGAAACATTTCACTGAAGAAGATATACAAGAAGATGGCAAATACACACATGAGAAAGATGTTCAACCTCATCAGCCATTAGAAAAATGCAGATTAAAATCACATCAATACACACCTCTCAGAATGTGAACACATCTAAAAGAAAAAATAATGACAACATCAAATGCTGTTGAGAATGAAGAGAAATTAGATCATTCAGACATTGCTGATGGGAATATAAAACAGCATAGTCACTCCAGAAAACAGCTTGGAAGTTTCCTTAAAAACTAAACATGCAACTACCATACAGCCCAATTGCACACTTGGGTATCTCTCCCAGGGAAATGGAAATTTATATTCATACAGAAACCTGTACATGAATATTTATAGCACCTTTATTCGTAATAGCCAAAAACTGGTAACAACCCAGATATCTCTTATCAGGTGAATGGTTAAACAAACCATATGGTACATTCAAACCACGGAATACTATTCAGTA